CATAAAATTTTTTTACAGGTTTATTTTTTCTATTTATTTTTTTTTAATTTGTTAACACTTGAAAATTTTGTCAGAAATTATTAAAAAAACTGTCCCTGTACAATTAAAAAGTTTTAATTTGTTTTTAATTTACATACATACGTCCTACCAGTTATTTTTTTTTGTATTAAATCACTTTTTTTTTATATATTTATATGATTCTATTGATTCCCTTCTAATCTACTCGTTTTTTTAGTACACCAGCCCTACCTACACCCCCTTTCCTTTTTTTTTTCTCCCTCCCAGGTTCCTGTAAAGATTGCTTGAGCGAAAAGGGCCGCCTTTTGCAATACCAATAAAGGGTTTTTTTATTATTTAACGTTTACCTTTTAAGTTCTCTACCAAAAAATTACAAAATATACTTCTACGAAGGAACAAAGTTCCTAATCCAAGCCCCTCTCTGGACCCTCTCCCCCACCCGCCGCCTCTTATTCGATAAACTTTGGCCTTAAAAAATTTAATTGTTTTTTTTTTTCCTTTAAAAAAAAAAAAAATTTTTAAAAATTTAAGAATACGAGTGTCCCCCCCCTATTACCCCGGGGGGTGTACATAACCGCTAAGGAGAAAACTATGGGAAACACACTCAAGAAAAGGGAAAACTTGAACAAAACCCCTAACCGCCCATCTGGCCGCGTGGTTTGTGGCCAAAAGCCCCTTTGTAACTAGGGGTTTTTGTCCAGCAGGGGACTTTTAAAGGCTTTATGATATGATGATTTAAATTTTAAAAAAATAAATAAAAATTTAAAAAAAGATTTTTAAAATTTTATTTCTATGCCCTTGTCACACATTTGCGCACCCCCTTTAAAAACAAAGGGAAAAACCTACGGTATTAATCCCCCCCTTGTACAATTTTTTTTTATTGCATAAATATTTAAAGTAAAAAATAAAGTAGTTTATCTTTATTAAGATAAAATATAAATTTTCGGGTCATTTTGTAATTAGTTTTTTAAAGTTTTTGAGCAAGAGTGCTATTACGTCAAAAAAAATTTATTAAGGGTTTTTTAAAATAAATGTAGGGTTAAATTTTTATTTGTTTTGTGTTGAGTTAGGTTAAAATTGACATACGTCAAACTTTTAAATTTTTTTCACTAAACATGTTTTTTTTTGTATTTATACTGTGAGTTTTCCAATATATTAAAAAAAAATTAATAAAATGCGGTTGGGTACACAGTCAAATTTGGGTGGCTCAAATTTTTCTATGGCCCTTTAAATGGATTCAGGCCAGAGAACAGTTTATTTAAAAGAAAAGGGGGGAAAAAGGAGGGGTTACAGGGGAAGGCTACTGTGGAGCAAAGGAGGAGCACTCAAGGTCGCTAGTGCCACTTAACTATTGTTTGAAAGTACGTCCCGGCCTTAATTTTATATAATATATAGTTTTCGCTCGGTTCCTTTTTAAAATTAATATACTTATTAAAAGTTACAAGTATAATTATTTTTTTACATAAATAAAAAACTCGTGTCTTATACAAAAAATTTCAAAAATTATTATTATTTCGAAACCATTTTGAGTTATTATTTTTTTTAGCTCTCTACAACTGCATATATATGCACAGGCATATAAGAGATTTTCGATACTTATGAATTTAGTTTACTAATATTTGCAAAACAGAGATTGTTGCTATTGGGTATTAATCTATGACTTTAGAGTCTACAGAATAGACGATTTCACACAATTAAAAAAAATGAAATAAAGAAAGGAGAACGGCAGATCCTGTACCCTAGTAAAATATGATAGAGGGTTTTCAGATTTGCACCGTTTAAAGAATTAGTCATCCTAACTATGTCAAGTAATTATTTTTATTTTTATAACTTTGCTTAAAGTAAAAAAAAACAAGAATTGCTGCCATAACTAACGTTCAAGTGTGGATAACAAAACGCATTCATTGCCATGCATAAAATATAAATTACATGAAAAAAGATTAGTTTACATCGAGATTAATAAATCAGCTGATTAGTGTATTTAACAGTTAAAAACAAAACTTGTCTTTGTTAATAATGTTAACTGTACAGATTAGACAAGTAATAAAACAATGATTCATCATCACATCAGTCTTTAATAGTCCACTACTGGACATAGGCCCTCTTTAGAAAATAGGTTTTGGACTAATATACCACGCTGGCCAGACGGGTTGGTATTGGGTTTGTTTGAAGATTTCAATGTACAGGGAAGCATTGATTATTTTATTTAATTAGTTTAAGGAAAGGTACTAATAACCTTTATTCAAATTGATTAGTAATTCACGATTAATCGTGAACATTAAAAAAAAGTAATTTAACTGATTTGACTAGCCAAAATTTTATTGACGGATCAAGAAATAGTGAAGGAATGATTTTGAAAGATATCTAAGTTAACTTGTTAACAGAAATGATAAGTTATTTTGTGATAGCCCGCTGTCATTAGTATCGACTTCATTACAGCCTATATGCAAACTACAAACTGAAATAACTTTTGAACGCAGAGTTTTAAAAATCTGGTAATAAAACTGTATTTTGATGATATTACCACCCAAAAAATACCATAATAACCCTACCATGAGATGCGCAAGGCGATACAAAAGTCCTATGCTCCCAGACTGCACGGATGGCGTAATGGTTTAAGAGATCGCCATGGCGCGTTCTACCACGCTGAGTGTTGTGGTCTGATCCCCACCTGGGACGACACTTTGTGTGATCCACAAATTGTTTCTTCTGAGACTGGGTGTTCTTTGTGTCCGTTTGATGTATGTTTGTGAAGTCCCCCGCGACACAGGATATATTCCTGATGCGGAAGTTGTCACTTTTAAAAACAAAAATAAAAAATACATGCCTGCCATTGTCCTTTTGAGTTTGAATTTGAATCCCAGAAATCATCCTTTAAGGGGTGTAAAAAAGGGGTGGAAGTTTGTATGGGAAACCAAAAACCGCTGAACCGATTTAGTTGAAATTTGTTTTTAAGCTAGTTTGAGTTGTAAGGAAGGACACATGCTAATTTTCACGGCTGATAAACCGAAATAAACGAGGGCGAGCCGCGGGCAAAAACTAGTACTAATAATTAAAAAATCAATGTCAAATAGATAAAGGTATCCGAATACCTTTCACTTGAGTTTATTTCCAATGACTCACGCCGAACAATGAATTAAACTATCTCGAAATGAACTTCTTAGATTATTTGTTTTGTTGTATTGTTTGATTCTTATCTAAAGCGGAAGATGTAAATATCTTACATGTTGCATGCAAACTGTTAATTAGAGAAATTTCGTCATTTCTTTAACTTTGGTTAAAGTTTTGGAGCCTACCACCTACCTGAATTCCGGGCCATCAATGTGCTTGTTATATATGACCTCCTCTTATATGGTTTGCCACACGGTATTCATTTTCTACTCCCTATGTCAGCGGTCGCTACACCCTAGCCAGGGCCTAACAGATGGCTTCACCTGTCACTTTCAGGCCAGCGCTTATGACGGAATGCATGTCTCTCTGCTTCATCCACGCCGGGCATTCTGCCACATGTGAAACACCGTGTCAACGTGTGTGTAGAAATATATAAGTCAGCAGTCTGCTAACCAGGTTGTGTCTAGTTTGGGATCAAACGAGCCTTTATTAGACGTGTTAGGTTATCATTATTACTGTGGGGAAAACTTTTATCACGGCCTGTATTACAGATACCTGTATCACTTATCACTTCATCATTGCAAGGACTAGTTCAGTAGTAATAATTTTAAAGTTTTAGGTTTTTTTTTATTTAGTAGCGTTAACAACATGTCTTAATTACTATTATAATTCCAAAATTTACAAATCAGGAGAACCAATGTTAACCACATACAATATTGATATTATTTATTGTAAGAAAGTCCGAGTTCCGTCCTTGTTACAGCTGAAATGTGAATACAAAACAACAATTTCTCAAAAAGATACCCCAAATAATAACAAAGAACAGGTGTCTGAGAATATTCTAGTTAAGCAGTATGCTTGTGTAAATGCATATTCAGGCCATTAACTAGAAAAATTTAAAAAAAATCCGGAAAAGTGTGAGTCGGACTCGCCCACCGAGGGTCCGTACACATTTGTAGGTACATTTTTTAAATAGTTCAAGAATTGAATCTCACTGTTTTCTCCGAGCTTTGCCCAAAATTCAGTTCCCAAAACCTATAATTACTTTTTTCTTGGTTTTATAAGAGATATTGTACCTCGATGATTGATGGTACTTTAAATAAAGATTTTTCCAAGTACTAGTAGTATAACACGATGTTACTTGCTAAATTTCAGAGTTATAGATCAACGGAAAACCCCCCGTGACTTTGATTCCCTTGTGAGTGTCAAAATATGCGTTTTTTGCAGCATAAAGGGCCGTATTTTGTTTACGTTATCTTGGATTTGATTTTTTTAAACAGCTTCAAGGACCGAAGACCAGAGTATGGGGTTTTTAAATTTTAAACTAGATACCTCCAGTTTCTTGACAGCCAGACAGAAGGACAACAAAGTGATTATATACGGTTACGTTTTTTTTTCTTTGAGGTACGTAACCCTAAAAAATGTCTTAAAATAAAATGGATAAATTAAAACTATTTCGAAAGTTACTAAATGAAAGTGAGTGGTATGATAAAAAATGCAATTGTCGCCTTGTACCGTGACTCTAAAACAAACAAGTATTATAATAGGTGTTTTGCTTTTAAACAATAAACCTTCGCCGTTTTGGTTCAGTCTTGTCTTGATAACATTACGATATTTTCATTCAGTGCCAATTTTACTGTAACACGGTAATCTTTGAACGAAACATTGTTGAAATTAATTCGTATTTGAATTTAAGGCGTTCAAAAAATCTATGTACTTGGAATTTTTTGTTCTGTGCTCTCAAAATGGCAAACGCTGTGTCGAATAAATCGGTTGCCGGTGTCTATGCGAAGGGAAAAGATATTTCTTACTGGAGGGACTGGATTTTGGGAAAGGTGAGTTTTTTGCATTTTTAGGCTAGTTTGCACTTTTCAACAGATTTATTTTATTATATTTTGGGTGAATTTAATGTAAATTTTTAGTATATTTAATGTATAGTTCGAATTTCAACGTCTCTGCTGTTGTCTAATATTTTTTTCGGATCGCAGTGAGAAACATTTTGGAAATTGGTTTTCATAAACTCACGATTAAACTAACTAATTAAATTCTCGTATTTTTTTCTTTTAACTTTAAACATAATGGTCATACTACTAATTCTTTCTTAGTAGGCAATAACTGAGGTTATAAAAAAATATAAGTTTTTTCTTGTTTATAATTTTAGAAGTTTTCTACTTAGTTCACTTAAAATATTATCTAATAGCTGTTTAGCTCCAGTGTGGTCTTTAAATAGCATGCACCTGACAAAATTATTCCTTTTTCATTAATATTTATCTGAAAGTGAGTAGGACCCACAACACTACCCGGGCGGAACTATGTATTTTTTTTATTAATTTTAATGTTTAATTGAAACCCTGTTGTTTCTTACCCGTTACGTAATCTTTAAAATGATTTTTCTATTTTTTTAAATTTGCCCAGTTTATAAATGTAAATTTATATAAAGTATATACTAGTATCAGATATCGTGTCAAAAGCGTTTGACAGGTCGAAAAAGGGGTTGTAGTTTGTAAGTTTTTGTATTTGAAAAACAGAGATTGTTGCTTTTGTGTGTGTTGATCTATGACTTAAAAGTCTACATAAAAGACGATTTCAAACAATTTTAAATGTTTTATACATTATTTGCTCTTACCATTAAGTTTTTAATACTGTTTGTTTTCCAAATAAAATAAAAAATAAAAATAAAATCTATTTTTATCTAATTATCCACAATATTGAATATTTGATCTGTTACTGTATTTATATTATCTTCAATACATACGTCTGGATGTAATTTACTATAATGTAAAAAACCAAACACAAGCTTATAATACCTGATTAACCCTCTCAATTTTTTTGTACAGTGCGTTAAGCACTGAGAATAGCCGAAAGTTGTCGAGACTTGCCTATGTTCCCATTTTGTAAATAGGATGATTCATTTAATTATTCATTATGAAAAGGTTAAAACTGAATACAAGAATTGATTCTAGCTAGTAAATTTCAATAGCGGGCACAGAAACGTAAAATCTAGGATTAATGCTTTTGCTTAAAGAAATTTTTTGTTATATTTATTGAATAGATGAATGAAGAAAACCAAACTTCACCTTATAACAACCGATTATTTTAGGTATTTATAGAAAAGCTGCTCTATAGCTGTCCAGAGATTGATACAATTTATATCCTGATACGAGAGAAAAAAGGACTTGACATCAACCACGAATCAAAATCTCTTCAATGATCCAGTGGAGTAGTCTACTTATTAACTTTAAAGGTTCGAAATTGGAATTCAATAAGGGCGTTTAAATCCCTGATTAATACTTCCCGGAATCACTTGTTAGGGAGTCACAGCGATGTCGGTTTCAAAACCCTTCAGATTGAGATCAAAGATCAATCTACAAATCATATTTGTTAGGCCTATTTCATACCCAAAATTATTCCGTACAAAGATTTGAAGATTTTCAATGTTGGGTAGCAATTCTAATTTACACATTTCTAATTTAAAACCCCATTTTATTAAATTATCACATTTGGATAAAATAACGTTTATACTCTACTTACTTGCATGCTTTTGTCTTAAGTGTTTTCCCTTTCATCTAGCATTCTCAGTTTTTTTAACTAATGCATAATGCTTTATTTCATGTTTAACTATTCTGATTCTAAAGGAAAATTATTTGCTAATTTTATTTATACTGGGAACTTTTTGGGCAAACGAAATCACTTTAAGACATTCAGCACAAACATACGAGTACACTTTTTTTTATTTTTTTTATTTTATAACTTTTGCACAAGTACATGCATCGGCGGACTTAATGCCTAAAGCATTTTCTGCCAGTCGTTCGATAGGGCGATGCTGAGAAAGAATGAGGTAGGTGCATTTATGGGGGGTAATAAATGATAAAAGGTTTTCCTGAATCTTAGAATTTGGTGTATACATCTAAATACCACACACATACACTTTAATATAAACGTCATACACACATATATTCATATTTACATATAAAAGGCTTGAACTAAGAGCTTGTTGAATCTGCCATTTCACTTAGCAAAAGTCTTTTCACTTCGTCCTTAAAGAGTACCGTTTTCTGGCCATCCTATTCTTATTATAGGTATTATAATCATGCAGTATTCGCGCCGAAAAAACACGTAAACTAAACACACCCATAAAAACCTCAACATTACCACAATCGCTTAATGTTCAGGAAGGGAAAATACACCGCATACAAAAATTAAAATTTTTAACGTAATGAATTAAATTTGTTTTTTTTTTAGGAAACTATACTGTTTTTGTTTCTAATAGAATCCGTGCGGTAGTCATAATATCTTGTCTACTTATACTTTATTAATTTTTAGTATTATAACAAACCAATATCCTTTACCCAAAAGTTTTATTTCATTTTCAGCTTTCGAAAGATAAAAAACAAAAGACCACAAGTCTAGAAAAAAAAGGTTTCCAAAACTGGAGATTGAATAGCCCACAATTGGGAATATCTCCCGATGTGAGAACCTCACGAAAAGGGAGTATGAAAAATAGATTTCTGTTTACCAAAAAATTTTTTCAAGAATTGTAAACAGCTCATTTTTTGTGCTGTATTTTGTGACGGATTTTTTCTATAAAAAGCTGAGACCCCGGTTTTCCTGCGTTTGTTATAACAGCGGCAAAGCCCCGGGGCAAAGCTTCTAAAAAAAGTACCTAAATTATCCTTTTGTCCTCAGCTATCTGCCAGTGAAAGTCCCGTCGAAATCGGTCCAGCCGTTCCAGAGATTACCCGGAACAAAACAGACAGACAGACGGGACAAAAAATTGTGAAAAATGTTATTTTGGATATGTACCGTGTAAACATACATATGCATTTAGTAAAAAGCGGTTATTTTAATTTTAAACAAACAGAAGATAATACTGGATGTTTAGTCATTGCTTGCTTAGGGATCATCCTTGGCAGGTACTTTGCCGAACAATAGTGTAATATTTATTTAAATACAATGATTTTTAATAACCCTTTTTGGGTGCAGATGCCAATTTTTTTCACAGGCGTGAGTACGTGAATTATGTGTAGTTTATTTTTTACTACTAGCTTGCAAAATGTTGGGTTTATATTTTGGCTCAAATAAAAACTTACTCGGGGGGTTAGTATAAATATGTACATAATACACACATATCGACTGACTACTTTTTTTTACGCGGAACAACTGCCCTCAGACCTCTGTAGAATTGAATTAGTTTATCCGACGTTCAAAGGGCTCAACTATTCGTAACGTTTGCCACAGATGTTCGTATGGCAACCGGGACTGACGTTAACAAATGCTCAAAGTGTAAAAAATGGCCCCAAACCATAGACTGACCTTTGGGCCCTGATTGCTTAACTTTGCAATTTGTTAACTTTTCGGTTACGCTCTTCAAACTGTTAACACCACCAGTTATAATACTTAGTTTGCCCTCAGTTAATACAGACGAAAAATAATTATAGGTTTACACTTATTTTTTTAATGTGTATTTTGTTGTCAATTTAAAATGCCAACTTACAATTTAGCTTCCGTCTTCTTAACCCGTGATTTTGCTTTTTACGTCACTCGATCAATTACCACAGAGTGACTACAGGCTGACGAAATGTTGATGTAAACTTATAGCAAATTTCGATTAGAACACTTTTAAAAACTATTCAACCAATCAATTTGTTTTAATGAGTTTCGATCGAAACAATAACGAAGTATGCAGTTTGTTAATACGTGGAAGCGCGGGTTGCATTCAGTAGGCTGTTGTTGTGTTTAGTTTTTCTAATAAGGGAACTAATTCGTTGTTGAAACAGAAAATTTGATTTTAATCTGGATGTACATTTTTCGTTAATTATGTTGTGTTATCAAAGCCCCTTATCAAATTATTTAATTGTCAATGAAAAAATACAGGTTCGGATGAAAGCGGTCTATAAACTCTGAAAAATTTTATATTGAAGTCCTTGATTGATGTTTTTTTTTTTAACATAAACCTAAATTCGGGCAAGGAGGTCTTTTGAAATCTAAATAAGTAAATCTGCAGCAGATTTTGCAATAACACGGCTTCTGGTTATTTGTCTTAGTTTTTGTACTAAGCACCTGAAATGTGGAGTTGTATATCTCTATGTCGTTCAACCGTAACTAAGAAGGGATTTCGTAACTGAATTTAAAGGGGATTTTAAGAGCTTTTGAAACTTTATGTAAAATGTTAACTTTATTTCTGCTATTGAAGAGATTTTCTATTTAAAAATGATTAAAGTGTGTGTTTCTCTTCCACGGTCCTAAGATGCGGCTTTTTTACCTAGTTTAGAAGTCTGTCCCTTTAAATGACCAGTATTTGGTATTGGTATTGGTTGTGGGCCTCGGTTTCCGCATTTAGACTCAGAGTGGTCCTTTATGCGTCGGGGATTGGTTGACTAGGTGAGCCAGCCCAGCTCCTTCCAGAAGCGCAGAAGCCTCCTGGGGGGTTCACAGGTCTGGAGCGAGTTTATATCAGGAATGATATTTGCCCGTTTGTGGCCACTCCTCGCATTTCCCGGACTACGTGGGCGGCCGTTTCTTCAGCTTCCAGACACCCCTGCACAGGGGGCTGTCCCCTCGCTTGCTATGAATAGTTGTCGGTTCAGGGCTAGAGTCCCGTAATAGTTCCGACAACCATTCTGATTTCCGGTCTGCTAAGACTGATCAGTCTGCAGGTTAGTCGTGGCGTGACTTGATTCAGCACCAGTTTGGACTGTCTGCAGCCGGGTGAGTTTTTCCACCTCCGGTTGTGTGCTTCACAGGTCCGTTGCCTGACCCAGCATCGTATTTGGTTAACGATATGGGCAGGAGTGGGGTTTGCCAGAGGTTGGGGTTGCCGACCCCCCTCCTTGCCAACAACTGACCTGACCTTAATGACCAGTATTTGTCATATTACTGCTTTAAGCTCCGTTGTTTTATTTTATTTTTATTTTGTTCGGAATACCAACAGCACAAATAACGCAAGGTAAAACATTACAGTAAAAAGTAACAACAAGCTATTCACAGGTATTCGCAAATACTTTCCCAAAGGTGTGAAACAACAGTTCAAAATAACTTAGCAACATCAATTAGAAAAAATTCACGCTCCAATATTGGGCTGAAAAAATTTTTTTGCTGCTGCTGTGCTTAAGTAAGTGTAAATGTAAGCATTGAAGTAAATAAATACTTTTAAATAAAGAAATAAAGATGTTAGGTCTATGCTTTTTTTATCATTTATAAATTTTAGGTACAGCAGATACACAGTTTACAGATACGTAAATTAGGCAAACCGATGAACAGCAGTAGCTATTTCCAACCCTAGTGAAGAAAGCTTTGTTTTGTTTCCATTTCTATTTGCACCAAAAACACAACTTTTTATTACTCTACAAGGCGTAATCAATTTACGAGTTTTACTAAAATTCAAAAAATTCATAAGCAATTTTTATAAATAGTACACTGTGTTATAAATATGTCAGGTCATGGTTTATTTAAGATTTATGAACTGATTTAATCAAATATGGAATTACTAATACGAATTTTGTGTCATCTCATAAGATTACAGAAAGTCAAAAAAATATGATCAAGAATTCTTCTCTAAAATGTATTTTAATGATAATTTATTATCATCAAAATCAACAGCCTTTCATAGTCCCACTGCTGGGCATAGGCCCCTTCCTTAGAAAGGACGTTTTGGCCTACTATACCACGCTGGCCAGACGGGGTTTTGGTATAGGGTTTGTTTCAATTTTTCCCTTCTCTCTGCAGTGCTTTTTAATGATATTAAATATTTCAGGTATCCGTTGTAATTCATGCAGCAGCTACCGTCAAATTCAACGAACCTTTAAAAGAAGCGTGGCAAACAAACGTCGAAGGTAACAGGATGGTTTTAGAGTTGGCTCAGAGAATGAAACAGTAGAAGTAAGTGCCTATTTCTGTACTTATTACTGATGACTACCCTTAAGCAAGGCTAAGCGGTAGGGTTTAAGCGTCAAACATCTTTTATAAATGATGAACAAGAATCAAGATAATAAAATTTCTTTATTCATCACTTTGATTTCCAGTTTTCTCTTAGGGTAATACAAATTTCAAAGATCATCAATATGTTGTCAGAAGACACGACGACCGGATGGCGTAGTGGTTTGTGTACCGGACTGCTATTCAAAGGTCGCGGGTTCGATTCCCGCTCAAGTCAAACATTGTCTGAAATGAACTTTAATGTTTGATTTGGTCTGGGTGTTTCTATGTATAATAAGTATGTATTTACAAAAAAAAGTATATATGTATTTATATCAGTTGTCTAGTACCCATAGAAACAAGCTCTGCTTAGTTTGGTACTAGATGGCGTTGTGTGAAGTGGTCAATACAAAAAAAATATAAATATAAAAATCTGATATAAAGTTTCCCTGTTTTAATTAATCTTGAGATGTTGAGCACCATGTAAACAGCAATGGTATGACAGAACAGTTATCAGGCTGGTGGTGTACTCGTATCTCAGCCTAGACATTTCTATCTCTGTCCATTACCTTACTCCAATTTCTCTGTTTCCTTGTCTTATCTGAAAACGTTTTCGTTCTCCCGGAGAAGCTAGCTAAACCTGTTCCATGTATTACCATCCCCAAGCAGAATTGCCAAAAAGACAGAAAAATAATAGTTATACAGTTTATTAAAAATTTGGGTTAAGTAATAATAATAATCTTAAACTACTGCGATTTGTCCATCCAAAGGGGTTGCCTGTAAGAGATTGCCAAGGCCCTATTGTACATATCCATCTGTATATTAACCAACTTACTGTAATTGGTGTACAATAAAGCATATTCTATTCTATTCTATTTTTTTGGCTGCCAGGTGTTTCTGCATGTATCGACAGCTTACAGTAATCCAGATAGACAGGTTATTTAGAAGTTTATATCCAGGCCCTGTAATATCGATGAAATACAGCAGCTGGTTAAAGGAGATTTGACTGATGAAGTACTTTAAAAATTATGGTAGAAATCCAAATTTTGAATTATTTTTTTAGAAAGTCGATTGGGGTACCACGCTCTCTTTTATTTTTCCCAAACCCTAAAAAATGGGATTAAAAGTATTTTTTTAAACCATTTTTTGTTTTCCTATATTGAAACAGTTAATTACATTACTGCTGGGAAGCAAATAAATACCTAATATAAAAAAAAAAAGGGTTTAGAATTTAACGAATAAAAAGTTTGACTGTAAAAAAATTTTTAACAAACCCCTCCCTAATGGCGTTGTGATATATAAAATTGTATCCACTCGTCGGGTCTCCGCAATAAAACTCTCGTAGTGTAGTAAAACTATTTGTAATAGGTATTCGAAAATGTTTTTTTAGTTTTTAAAATTTTCTGTCGTAGATTAAAATAGACTCGTTCTTTTAACTTAAAGCCCCTTTTTTTTTTTTTTTTTTTTCCGTCAAAAATCCCCCCGATACCCCCTTTCCGGTGGATGTCACACAAAACCGATAAAACCGCCCCCCTTTCGCCGGTAAAATTTCCGGGGAACCGGGTATACCCTAGAAAGGAAGGCCCGGGGCCCCGACATCCCTGGGGTTTCCTCAGACAGTAACGCCCCCCCCCCGTGTGGGAAAAACCCCATGTTCCCTGTGCCCCCTGGAACGGCGCGCTTCGCAACGCGCTCGCCGCCCCCCGGGGCCTGCTTTTAGGGGACAGATGGCCTCACCTGTCCCCCCAGGCCTGCGTTTGGAGGACGGAGGTCTTCTGCGCCCTCCGGGCCCCTGATTCCCTGCGCTCCCGGCCCCTGCCCGGCCTGGCGGACCGGAGAGTTAAACCTCCCCCGTTCCCGCTCCCCCCGTCCCTTCGCAGCATAACTTGCTCGCAGAGGGACGGCAAGGTTCCACGACTCTCCCCGCAGATAGCCGCAATCGGGCTACGACGGAGAACTCCCCCGATGGCCCCCCGAGGCTCGCCTCTGCTCAACCCCCCCGGGCTGTGAGCTGTGGAAGCCGTCCCACGGTCTGGCCATCGCAGGGGTGGACTCGGGCTTGGGCTTTTCGGATCAGACACAGGTGATCTCCGAAACATCCCTTCCCAGTGACACCTGGTCATGGGTTATGGAGGGTCCCGTGCGCCTCTGACCCAATCCTCCATAACGGGTCTACCCCCGAAATGACGGCGTGCCCACGCTCGGTTGCCCAGTCTTTCCTCCACCCCCCTATGAGACCGGGCGGATTGGTTTCGGTCATCGTTTTCTCGAATCTCGGGGCATCACCCAACTCCTGCGCCCCCTTTGCCCCACTAACAGTGCCGCAGGGCTCTCCCCTCCAGGCCCCACGGTGGATTTCCGGCCAGGAGACTCGCTGCCTCAAAGGAGACGTGCGGTCCCCCTTTTTAATCCTGATGGCAAGCATTCGCTGCGGTCGTCCAGTACACCTTTCGGGCCCCCCCAAAACCGGGAAACCCCGTAAAGGGCCATGGACCGCAAAAACCCCCGAGTAGAGTCCCCTCAGGAGTCATCCCCTTCAGTTGGGCACAGCCGCGCCAACGCACGCGCTGCCCCAACCAACTTAGGGACCAGACCGGAAATGATATCCGAATCCCATGGGGCCATCGAGTACAGCCCCGGGATCCCGATCGGGGCTCGAGCCATCGAGTGCCTCCTACCGGAGTTTAACCCCTGGGCGGCTTCCTCCAACCCGGGGAAGAACAGGGCCTCGGATTTGGCAGACCCCCCGAACCCACCGCCGGATACGAAAACACTTGGGAACCCCGGCCGTCCCCCTGAGGGTTCCCTCTGGTGCGTTTCCCGCGCCCCGTACGAGTGTGTCGCCCGCGTACCCACCGAGGCGACACCATCCAAGAAGGCACCACGAAGCCCCAGTCGTACCCGAGTTCCACAAGATGGCCCTAAACCCGACCCTCGGAACACCGCACGACATTTCAGCCTCCCAGACCGGTCCTACTGGGGTAACGACGGCCTTTTCCGAAAAATATGCCCGACTATGCGGCGGGGTAGAGGGGCCTTCGTGTAAAGGGCGCCCCCTGATGCAGCTCCGGGGCATAGTGTTAAAACGCGTTGGCGTGTCCAAAACACCGCCAACACCATCGCCCCGGGGGACTGCTTCCTCCGCAGAGCCTTCCGCGCTGATGCTCCACGGTGGAAACGCCCCTGCGGGAAACCGTACTGGTTTCCGCCCGATCCGGCCCACCATCACGAGATGCTTACAGGCGCCTTCAATCACTCTTTCCAAGACTTGCACCCTGTCAACAAACTTGGGCCCCGGTGGCGGCGGGAGTCCGCCGGGGCCCCTCCTTTCGGAGAGGGGCCAGTTTTTCCCCCTCCCCACAATTTCGGAAACGGCCCCGCTCGAGGCATGCGTGAAAACCCCCGCAGTCGGGGCTCGGGCCTCGTCGACTAAGGCCCGGACCCCCCGCCGGCCAGGAATCCATCGGGTCCCGGGGGGTGTTTTTTTGGGTTTAACCGTAACACCGCCCCCCTTGTTTCCCCCCATGACCCCAACCGTCGTCATCATCCACTTAGGCGCCTCAAGCGCCGGAGGGGACCTCTGTGGCAGAGTATCTCCACCACTCGCGTTGGGAAAAGGGGGCCAACGACCCTCTCAAACAGCCTGGCTGAAACACCTTGTGAGCGGCGAGGGGCCCTGGGCGCTCTTGCCCCTAACCATACGGTAGGGCGTCCCCCAGGATCCCGCTCCCTGTTTCCCGCATCCGCGGCGGGCCTCGCTCTTGGGCCCCTTTATGCTGCCCGAAGGGTCCCTTGGCAACCCTTAAACCCCCTAACACCCGCCTCTCTCGCTGCCGCATTTGGGCGGGACGCCTCCTGCGGACCTGCCATGGCGGCGCGCGGTACGCAGGCTTGACGCAGCCGGCGATCTCCGCGACCACCATGACCCCGCCTTGCAGTATTTTGGGGGACCCCAGGCATCGCCGCATCGAGAGGGGGTCATGGCCTCCCGGAACCCCGGTTCAATCGACGTTGCAGGCCTGTCCGGCGCAGGGGCCCAGGCCTGTACGATGGCGGGTTCCAAGGGTGGGGGCGATCTAAGCGCTTTAGCGCCCAACGTGGCAGGTTGCCGGGGCTGACCGGCGCGCCATCTGCAGGGGCGGAGCGTCAAACCGAATATTCGGTGATCCGAACCTTCCCCCTCCCGACAAAGACGCGCCCGCCTTGGACACGCGCGCTGCGAGGGGGATGCGAACGAGATCCACGATCGAATAACCCCCCCGCCCAGAAAAGTGGCCCCGGCCCCCCGGGGTTTGGGGAACTAGGCCCAATCTTTAGCCCATTTCCAATGCCCCGCCCCTCGGGTTCGGCCGGGAACCCAAGCCCGCCCAGGCGTTTAAGTCCCCCACAAAGAACCCGGGGGGGGGCGACAGGCATCGAGAGACGGCCAGTGAGCGAGCCCCCGCTCGAAATCAGTTTTTGGTTTTTGGTTCGGCGTGAAATAACGGGGCCCCGACCGCTATATCTCCAAATATCGCCGCTAACAGCCCCTCCCCCTTGAAATACTGCAAGAGTGGAGTCCGGCTTCGGTACCGTGCACCGGGGCCGCTCCGCCCAAATCGGTCTCCCAGCAGGGCCCGAGAACCGATGGACATAGGGTCGGCGATAGCGGGGATTTTTATGGACCACTGTGCCTGCTCTGGAGCAGAAGATCCTGAGCATCGGCACCGTCCCACGTTCCCTGGAGGATGCGGGGTGTAGATCCTCACTGGACTTCCATCCCCGCATCCCCCCCGCGGGGCTTTGCGGCTGTCCAGCGGCCTCCCCGTCTATCACGGCGCGGGGGCGGAAGGTCGGCCCCCGGGTTCGGTGGATAGGGCCCAAAGGGCCCTTTCCCCCAACCCGGTGGTCGGCAGGCTTGCCCCCCCCTGCGCACCTAAAGCAAAGGGCAGCGGAGCTTTGCAGCCACCCGCCTTGTGACCGGGCTGGCCACAGCGGAAGCATCGGTCACCTACGGTGGCCCTCCGCCGTGCAGTGCACCCCTACGTGCCCCACCGACAGGCACCTGAAGCACCTTGCCGGCCGGGCTGCAGGAGTCGTGCCTGCGCCCTCAGGAAACCTCCGACCAGGAGGCTCCGTCCATCGGCGACCTTCTGGGCCCCTGCGATAACCACTGCTAAATGATTAATTTAATTATATAAAATTAAATGAAGCAAAATCGTGCATCCTATTTTACAGGTGATAATATAATTATGTATGTGTGCGTGATGTCTCAAGTCATTTTAAATATTTATATATGAATTATATTTTGTTAGTATACATACGTTCATTATAAAACAAATATTTTGATTTACAGTGTCTGGTTCACCGATTAGTAACATTGTTTTAATTTTCAGCTGGACGTCCCAACACATATACGTTTACCAAAGCGTTGTCTGAACATTTAGTTGCTGAGAACTTACTGCATATGCCTACAGTCATCATCCGACCTTCTATTGGTAATTAAAATTCATGTCAATCTTTGTTTTTTTTTAAAGACAACTCCCGCGTTAGGAATATATTGTGTCGCGGAGGACTTTACAATCATTCATGAAACGGACACAAATAACACCCAGACTCATCGATAGGATCGAACCCACAACACTCAGCTTAGTAGGAAGCGGCGTGGTGTCCACTTAAACCACTATGTCACCCGTGCATTCGTTATGCATACGAGTATTCTTCAAATTGAAATAGTCTTTTTGGTTGAATCTTTTTATTGCTTGTCTTGCTTGCTTGAATGAATTTAAATGTTTGTTTCATTGGTAAGTTTAATGAAGCAGTTATGTAAAATTCTGACTAATAAGTATGTTATAGCTATACTTTATTAATAACATATATAACAGTAACGACAATATATACTTTGACACAAGACAAGACAAGACACACTTTTAGTTTTAATTTCTGTGCGTGTGTGGAGTGTAGAGACAAGGAGAACCATCTCTGTGTATGAAAGTTTGCGTAAAAACGCGTCCAATAAGGCTGGTGGTGCGGTAGCCTAAAATAAATGTATATTGGCTTAAATAATAAATAGACACTGTGTCATCATCATCAGCCTATCGCAGTCCACTGCTGGACATAGGCCTCTCCCATTGCACGCCACTTAGATCGATTTTGGGCTTCTCGCATCCAGACACTGTGTGCTAGACTGAAAAAATAGTCAATGAGTTTAACAGATAGTTAATAAAAGTCTAAGAACTTTCGGACAATTAAAGTATTTTAATATTTTAACTCAGCACAATTCAATACAACAAAAATTCAATAATACAATAGCTATGTTCATATCGTAGTTTTTCGTACGCCATTGACTTCTATTCTCAGTACACAGCTGCCAGTTTTTCAGTCTTTCCTCCCTTAAGAGATGGTTCTCCTTGCCTCTACACTACATAGTCTAGTGGTTAGAATTGCTTTTAATTCGCCCTAGGGCAAATAAACTTACCACTTTCATAGTACAAGCTCTGCTTAGTTTAAAACTACCATCTAGTGTCTTTGTGAGTCATACGTTCCAAAAAAAAATATATAAACAAGACTGCGGTATCGTTCTTTTTAGTGTTTATCAGTTTAATTCCATTAATAACCTGATAATTCAAGTTACTCTATGTTTTAATTTAACTGCTTTTTCATGTCGAAAAGAAGACAATAATTTTGTTTATTACTGTTAGTTTAATAATAATTTTGAAATTATATTTTTGTGAATATACAAAAATTAAATACGACTATTATACTTCTGAAAAAGAAAGAAATTTCACACAAACCCTATACCAACCCGTCTGGCCAGCGTGGTATAGTAGGGCAAAACCTCCTTTCTAAGGAGAGGCCTATGTCCAGCAGTGGACTATTAAAGGCTGTTGATGTGATGTGATGTGATGAAATACGACTATTTACACTTATTAATAAACTAATTTCTATGCTCACTAATAAACAGTTCATAAATTTGCAAATAGCAGCATTTGTTTTCGTCACTACTATTAATATATAACGTACTTTTTGTAACTGTTTAAGTTTAGTTTTATAAATTGGCATATTTACATCCTCAAGTGATTATCAAATTAAAAATAAACGAACCGACAAAGTAAAATACCGCTTAACATCTACGTTAAATTTGATTTTACCTGATACTACTTGAAAGATTTATATTCTGTTCCACAGAACTGATATACATATATAAACTAATAACTAAATTTCAGTGGCTGCAATTAAGAATGATCCTATAAAAGGTTGGTTAGAAAACTGGTACGGAGCGACAGGCATGATGGTCTCCACTTCTAAAGGCTTGAATCGAGTGTTCTATGGAAAATCTAGTAATAATGTGGACTTGATACCAGTCGACTACGTGGCAAATTTAGTGATAGCAGCAGGTGCCAAAAATTGCAGGTAACATAAATCATAATGTTAATATTGTCATTGAACTTGAATTGTATAGTAGATTTTTTTGTGTAAGTATGTAAATGTGAGTATAGTGTAGGATTGTAATGTTAGTTCATATTTAGACTTTCTGGTGGTTGAGAGTGTTTACACGGCCTACTCATATATCCTTCTGGCGGTAGTGTCGAGCTTCGGGTCGTTGATCTTGACTAATATCGGTTAAGCTACACGATGGCTTGGGGCTCGTATGTCATCTGTATGGACAGGCCGACTCAAACTATCGTCTTTTCTTCAAATGGCCTACTCAGACCCCGGTACTCCACACAGTTTTTCTTTAACTTTGTTTACGGATAACACCTCTGTGGTTTGCTTCGGCGTTTCTTCCAGAGTGAGTCTTAGGAAATGCCAGCTCCATCTAGCTGTAAAGTCCGAATTGTTAAAAATATCAGAAAAGATTAACTTACCTAGTAAATATCATTATCATTTGTCAAAGATTATTTGTCAGTTCGGAAAGGTCGCATGCTCCCTAAAAACCGTGCGCGCTCAGAATCTTGCCTGATTCTGTTAGGATGATAGCCTCACCTGTCACCCCCAGGTCGATCTGTGACCTCCAGCGCCTGAGCAGTCTGCGGTACCTGGCCTGTTCCCGGGCCCGTTGGATCGGGAGAGTTCTAAACTTCTCCCGGTCCTATATCGCAGTTTCCTTCATAACTTGCTCATAGAGGAGACTGCAGAGTTCCTATACCTCTAGACTTGGACTGAGCAATGCCAGCAGTAGACAAGAACCACGAAACGAAGAAAAAAAAAGGCTGATTACTCTTTCTTAATTATAGATCAAGAGAGTTAAAGATCTACAACTGCTGCAGCAGTGGCTGCAATCCTCTGCCAATTGGGAAAGTTATGAAGCTGTTTATAAAGAATTCTGAAAAATACAAATCGTGTAAGTGTTTTACATTTACAAACATGAATATGATACATTCATATTTTTGACAAGTTATATATTTTTATTAAACGATTAAAATTATTTGCTGTAATCTATTCAAAATTCTTAGACTTTCCAAAATAAGTCACATATGACATTAGATTTACTCGACGTGAGTATTACCTGAAGGCGTTACAAGAGGCATATCACTTATAGAGGAATACATATATCATGCCAATAGTAGGCCAAAACCTCCTTTCTAAGGAGAAGCCTATGTAAAGCAGTGGACTGTTAAAAGCTGTTGATGATGATGATGACATATATCATATTAGGCACACACTTTTTGCCGACTATAATTTTAGTATCAGTTTCGTAATAGGGGCTGGTGCCGTCAACGGGGCACTTTGGGATTTAGATTTAAAATTATAAGTACGTATAATAAAGGAAAGGTAGTTAAGACGGGAAGGTATTGGTAGGACTGCAGTACTGAGTAAGAGTTTGTGCACCTGTAACTCAAACTGGACATGCCTAAAAAGTCCAACCTTCAAACTGAATAAATTTAAGCGGATAAACTGGCTTAAAAATAGTTTTCTTATCAACTAATTCTATGTTATAGTGTGTGACATATTTAATAACCATACTTTTTTTCTGCAGCATGTATGCCGTTTCCTAAAATGTATACTTTTACAAGACGGAAGTGGCTGGTTTCACTTATCACTCTGCTGTTTCAAGTGACACCTGCATATATAGCTGATTTATTTAGAATACTTGCAGGAAAACGGCCGATGTAAGTTATCATGTACCTACATTTTAATAGATTCCACAAGTGCTGCTACAATTTCTGTAATCAAAATACGTCTATCAGTTTTAGAATTGTGGACTGGGACAATGATTCTTGATTGTTGAGAAATCTCTACCCTTAAGCCATTGTCTAAAGATGTTTTTTTTTGGAACAGAGGGCAAACGAGAAGACGGATTACCTGATGGTTTTGGCTACCGACCGCCTTTTTTGGGTCCGCTCCTTGTCGTAAGAAGTTGTCTGTCGGAGGGGGAGAGGCGTTGGCCGTCAGTCTTCACATTGTCAACGCCTTTAACTCTCTCCCGTAGTGGGCGATTAGAGAGGCACTAGTGTGTCAACAGTTGCCTCCCTACCTGCGGGACATCTTTTTACTTCGACAGGTGCATATCGTATATGGGTTAATCTGCCACCAGAGTCTGGGGACCTCTGGTGGCAGATTAATTGCTGCGGTAGGCGTTCGGATGGCGGCCCGATCGCAAAATGCTATTATGCCTTAACACACATTGATTGGGACGCCTTCTTTCGCTGGGGGATCCAGGGGGGACCTGAAATAACATGGTTCGGGTTCTCCCAAGAGCAGGGGGCCGGAGACCGGCTGTCGGGGTGATTTTTAGTGGAAACACCACATACTCCTGGCTCCTGTGTCCCCGAAGAGCCGGAGACCCGAAGGGATTTTCCACCCCGTCCACAAAAAAAAGGATCACCTGATGATAAGTGACTACCGCAACTCATGGACATCCGCAACTCAAGAATCATAATCCCCAATCAAGAGCAGGATGACATTTGGACTCCAGTTAGCTCCCTCACTTGGGGATAAACAACGAAAGAATTGCTTTGAGAGAGAAAGAGACCGTGTAGTATCACCGTGAGTGGTATCACGCCGGTCGAGTCTGCCCAACTATACCGAAGTATTCCTCTCCCGCGACAAAGACCATGTACACTTAGAATGTCTTCTTTAGATGAATGAATTTCATTAAATATATTTTTTTAGGTACGTCAAACTTCAGTCTCGCATCATGCAAACCCGTCTTGCCCTGAACTACTTCACGAGCCACTCTTGGATTATGAAAGCAGATCATACACGAAATTTATTTTTATCACTCTCAGCTTCGGACAAAAAAACTTTTCCCTGCGATCCTACTTCGATAGATTGGCATGAATACTTCAAGGATTATGCTTGGGGAGTACAAAGGTTTCTGGAAAAGAAGACATATGTTCAGTAATCTTTATTTATTCAGCTAAGCAGCTATCTTCTGAGAATTTTATACGAACGTGTATTCACAGAGTCTTATATATAAGACTTTACAATGTATATGTAATACACATACAGATATGTCAAACTCAAATTCTCTTCATTTGATTTTTTTTAAATTGTTTGAAATCGTCACAACAATCTCTGTTTTGTAAAATTTAATAAAAATTAAACTTGTACAAAATCTATGATATGTCTGTGCCGATCTTCAACGCCCGTTTCCAAGGGGATGAGCCTTATGAGAAGAAAGGGCAAACAAACTCATGCCAAGACGATATATTCATTGATGTAGTTATGTATTTAAAAAATTGCTAATATTTAGGTTTAAATATAACATTGTAACATATATAACATATAACATTGAAATTTTGTAATTCTACTAAAGGTATTAATCTATTTTTTAAGTTAGTATGTAAAATGTGTAAATAAGTTACTTATTACTCATATGTTTGTACTGTTTTAAGTTAGTCGAAATAGTCGAGACTTAACTAGGGTATGGTAAGAACTAAAGTGTCTGACACTTGCCATCAATTGATTGCGGGTTCAAACCCAACTGGATTTATAAAAACGTGAACATGTGCCTCATAAAAATATTTATTTAGTAAATAATTCTGTATACTCATCATCAACGTTTTACGTATCATTTACTTTTATTTTATCTTGATTAAGGCCACTCACTGACTTAGTTTATTTAAAACTAAAAATACCCTTTATGTACATTTTTAACTATTCTTAATAATGTATCATGTTTCACACTATGCTTAGAATTTTTTGTGACCTATACCAAGCGTTTGATTGCGACTTTGATGAGAAAATTACATCACGACGGAACAAGAAATCTCTTGATCTTACTTAGTATTTAAGTAATAAGATTCAGAGATTCCACACGGTTCAAAATTAGGGCCCGTTTTTTTTTGTTAAAAATAGTCACGATGTAGTATGAGATTGCAATTCAAATAGCTTTGCACTTATATCTAGTACCTTGATAATTATGACTTTGATCTTGATGATCAAAGTCCTTTAAGATTTATTCAAAAATTCTTATTCTACAGCTTTCTTCGTTTTATTTTAATCAGTCTTAAGGAACATAGTCTAAGATGGAATGTAATTGTTTTTTGAAATCATGGCAATGGCTACAGTCTAGTATAGTATCAGCCGCCCCTAGAAAATATGTCAAACTTAATTCTGATTTATTTTATAAGAAAGAATTGAATTGATTATTACCAGATGTAACACTTATTCATATATTTTTAATATCTTTCTAAACCTCTCTATTTTTGTTACAGATAGTACGATATTATAAATCTTTTCAGTTTTCTTAAATTTAAATTGATGTATTTTTTTGTCTTTTTTGCAGTTGAATTTATTTATTGTAATTCTAAACTCTTAACATATACATAAGACGACAAAGTACTAAAAAAAGAAGAGTAAATTTTGCAAACACTTAATTTAACATTTAATAAAATAACTATCTAAATAAAGGTGTTTTCAATAAGTTTATGTATTCATACATAAGCCTACATACCCAAATTTTGCTAGCAATAATTTTAAGGCCTGCTTATTTTATAAAGAGCAAGCCCATTGAAAGAACACTTAAAACCTATACCAACCCGTCTGGCCAGCATGGTATAGGAGACTAAAACCTCCTTTCCAAGGAGAGGCCTATGTCCAGCAGTGGACTATTAGAGGCTATTGATGATGGTGCTGATGAAGCCCATGGTTGACAAACGAGCGCTTTCCGTTTTAAATATAAGAAAATAGATAGTACATTTAAGGAAAAAGGTGAGTAAGTAAAAGGGACTCAAAGGAATGAAATTTCATTGCTTGTACGGATTGGGATATCTAAGCAATAGCTAAATCAGGCCAGGTTCAGACATACCTATAACACGATCTGGCTGTTGCTATATACATGTATATTTGGCGAAAATGAATTAATAGTTTTAAAATGATGGTAATAATTTTGTAATTGCTGACAGGATTTTAATTACGTAATATTTGAGATAACCTACTTAAATAAGTAGCTTAATCTAGTCCTTTTTATGAAAAAACAACATACAAAATATGCACATTCCACAAAATAGCAATATGAATTTTATTTTCTAAGTTGATTCAGTATATGGAACCAAATATCGTTACTTCTTCTAGGACTTAAGAAGATGAAAACATTTTTACAGGAAAAGTGTTGTGAAAGAATGGAACGTTTTTAGGGTTCATTAATCTGTTTCTTTTATCATAACTTCTAAATTGTTGAATAAATTTAACCGTGGGAGTCAGTGGGTACTCACATCACATCCACAGCCACTTCAATAGTCCACTGCTGGACAAGGGCCTCTGAAAGGAAGTTTTGGCCTACTATACCACGATGGCCGACGGGTTGGTATAGGGTTTGTTTCAAGTTTTCCTTCTCTTTGCAGTGCTGTTGTCCTGCTTAGTTTGCTCCCTTAGTTGGCTCTTACGACACCCACGGGATGAATTGGGGTGGTGACAATTTGTATTCTTAATCCGTCACCACACGGACGGTTCGTGGGGGTGCTGGGCTAGAAAACCTCCTCGTGGTGCACCCTGGAAACGCTGGCGATGGTACTGTTTCCTCCTTGTCCTCTTGGAGGAGAGGATTATCGCCAGCGGCCAATATTCTAGCAGAAGAGGCAGCCGTTCATCGGCTCTCGGGCAAGGCCTGGTCCAGCAGGGTGGGCGTGTCTGCCGGTTGCCCTGCTGGCTCTTCGCTCTTCGGAGCATGGAGGAGGAAACCTCGGTAAAAAACCTGATGGTGGGGCCCTGTAGGGGCCACAGTTTCTCCGCTGATAGCGGTGGAGAAAGGAGGACGGGCTCGGCGTGTACTCACACTACCACCGAGCAGGCAGGGGGACGTAGTCTCCCTGTCAACCGTCGGCATATCGCAATCCCGAGAAGAGCGCTGTGGTTAAGTCTCGCGGCTCTGATCGGGGGCGAGGGTCTTGGCTTAACCGCCCGGACCGCGAGGAAGATAACCTCTCTAAAAAATTCCCCGAATCCCGTGTTCTGGTGCGTGGCCAGGGGATGCATGGCTGATGGGAAGTTCAGTCGCGAGCGCACTCCAAGCCGAGGTACCTGCGGACCCCTCGGTTGGGTTAAAAACCTACGCTTGCCCGGGTAATGGGGGATCTCTGCCCGGGTGGACCTTTAGTTCTCCCCCACTCGTGGGATTTACTATGGATAATTTGCAAAAACCAAAAAAGACGATCGGAACCAAACAACCAACGAAAAAGGCAAGCCTAACGGAAAAGGAAGCACAGCGAAGGAAGGAAAAGCAGAACAGTGGAGCGGATGGGTCGTCCACTGAGGGCGAGATGGTGTCGGGAACGCCTATCTCGATGGGGCTCCCAGAGGTCAGTCTGACTCTGGTCACTGGGAGCCGAAGAGCATCGGATCGGCTGCGTTCCGGATCCGCCGCTTCATCGGATGGCGCGGAGGCCATGGAAGCGGAGCGGAGCGACAGCCGGAAACGCGGACGCTCAGGGGACGTGGAAACCGACACGTCCGGCGAAATGATGCCACCAAAGGTGGCAAGCAGCCGCCGAGGGAGGGCGCGCAAACCGGCCTCGGTGGCGATCCCGTCAGGCTCCGCGTTCTCCAACGCGGAGTCGTACAGGAACGTACGGGTGGACGGCGAGGCCGTAGCGGAGGAGGAGATCGCGGATCTCCTGCTCAAGGTTCGGGAGCCGGTGGGGGGAAATGCCCCCCAGGCTCCCGTGTCCGTGCAGGAGAGGGCGAAAGCGGCGGTGGCCGTCATCGACAAGGTGGCCACCAAATCCGTGAACCTTAAGGGCTCGTTTGTGAGGGCCCTTAAGGACTCCTCCTCCGCTTTGTCGGAGGTCGTGGAGGGCCTAGCGGGCGACGTCTCTCGCCTGCAGGTGGCCAACGAGAAGCTGACGGAGCGGGTGAACGAGCTGAGCGCTCAGTTCGCCCGCTTCCAGGCGAACCTCCCCGAGCGGGAAGCCCCGTCCGCGTCCCAGCCTGCCCCTACCACCAACTCAGGGGCATTTGACTCCCAGCTGCGAGAAATCCTCATCGCAGTTGGGAATATGCTGGACGGACGCCTGGCTGGCCTGGAGGCGAGACTGCCTCCTGCGCCGATTATGCGCCCCCCGCTCGCGTCGGCACAGCGGCCTAAGGCCGCCGCTCCGACCGCGCTCCCCGTAGTGGGAGGCCGCGTCTCCTACGCGGCGGCGGCGTCTGCCCCGACTCCATCGGCTCCCCAAAAGCCGAGGAGGGGGGCCAAGGCACCGGCCCAGGCGCCGGCCAAGGCACATCCCCAGGCGCCGGCCAAGACGGGGCCTAAAACGGCGCCGAGGAGCGGAGTGGCATTCCCTCCGCTCCCCACTCCGACACCCCTGCCGGGCCCCTCCGCACCTGCCCCCTCCAACGAGGGTTGGCAGGAGGCGAGGGGCTCCAAGAAGTCCCGAAGGCGGGCCAAAAAAGGCTGCCAAAAAAGCAGCCCAAGCCCAGCCTTCGCCGCCGGTGGCAACGGCCTCCACAAAGAGGCCGCGGAAGCTGCAGCCGCCCAAAACCGCGGCTGTAGTGGTGACCGTGTCCCCGGAGGCGGCGGACGGCGGGCTGTCCTACGCGGCCGTCTTCAAAAAGGCCCGGGACAGCCTCGCCAACGATTTTGGAACGGTGGGGGTCAGAATGCGCCTCGCCCAGACGGGAGCTCGAGTCCTCGAGTTCCCTGGGGCTGAAGGCGCTAAATCGGCGGACACATTTGCCGAGAAGCTGCGGGGACTCTTTACAGCCACGGATGGTGTAAAGATGGCCAGGCCTACTAAGTGCGCAGAGCTGCGCATCTCGGGCCTGGACGACTCTGTGACGGCCGAAGATGTCCGCGCTGTAATCCGGGAGAAGACGGGGTGCAGCGCGGACAACGTCAGGGTCGGCACCATCCGCCCCGGTCCAGGAGGGCTTGGCGCCGTGTGGGTCAGCTGTCCCGTAGCG